CAGACAGTATTGCAGGGGTAAAGCAGCTCAGAGGTAAGGTGGGGTAAGATCATTTCAGGATTTAAAAACAACAAGTGAAGCCAGAATAGGTGTATAATTATAATAAAATGCATCCTTTATCAGGTAAATATTTTGAGGGCACTGGCTAGCAGGTAACTTTGTTGGTTTGTAGCTAATTATCTATTATTAAAATATATTTTAATAATTCCTGCATTTTTTCTGCTGTCACCTTTTCAGTTTTTCTAATTATCTTCTAAATATCCTTCTGTCAGCACAGAAATTGTGACGATGGCATCTTTGTTGTCCTCTCACACAACGTTAAACTACAGCTATGTAAAGAATTGTATTGTACAGTGTCTTTTTTGTTCTCTGACCTGCTATTGTGGTTTTGATGGCAGTGAGAACCTTACATAAAATGTACTTTCAAGCTCATGTGCACACACACACACACACACACACACACACACACACACGCAGTCGTGCACTCGCCTCAGCATTTCTGCCAAAAGCAGGCGTCTGCTCTGTTCACAGTAAATGATTTCTCATTTGTTGAGCTGTCAGTCAAGATGTGTCTGTCAAAAAAGAAACTAATTTCATGCTCGGCCTCTGTGAATCATAATGGCCTGAGAGCCGGGCTGAAATTGACTGTGTTTATAGGAGGAGATTCACAGAATAAAGGAAATGTGCCCTGAAAATAAATCCCCCCCCCCTCGTATCTGTTATGTTTGCACAACAAATGAAAACAGGTAATGTGTCCAAAAAGGTGTGGTTGTCATAACAACATTTTTTGGTAGGTTCCCCCCCAAAACAGTGCCCCAAATCTATAGCAGAGCCCAGCTTAAAAAATACAGAAAACATTCACCCTCTATCTCCGTGGACAGAAAGAAATGTCATTAAATACCAAGGGCACGGGGATGTGGTATCTGGACTGCATTCTGTGGTGAGGTTTGAGATTTTAGGTGATAGCGATAGTGTGTGTGATGTGCTACAATAATTGTGTCTTATCTAAAATGGAGCATCTAGCTGTGTTGCCACTGGAAAGGATGCTAGTGAGGAGATGACTTAGGAAAGCACAGAAAATGCCCTATAATAGGGTGATTTTTAAATGATCTTCATGTTGCATTATTTAACATGCTGAACATTCACATTTCTCAGTAACACCCATGTATTTTTAGATTACTGCTTTCAAAGTATAAATACAACAATTTCAGTTGGGCATTTGATTCCTTATCAGCTAGGAGCTGTGTCTCCCCAATGGTTCCCAACCAAAAAGTAAAGTGTAAATGTAAAGTGCCTTATTTCTTTGTATGTCTAAAACAATCAAGATATACAGTGGTATTTTGTGAGTTCAGGCTGGTGGTTTAGATTGATTTTGTTCCATTTGGATAGAAGCAGGTTAGCTGTTTCACCCTGGTTGTAGTCATTATGCTAAGCTTTGCTAATGGCATGCTGGCTGTAGCTTCAGCCAAGGGACGACCTCCAGGGCTGAAAAATGAAGCCAGTGTGGGAGTGAAAAATCTGAAACTTCCTCTAATGGCCACTTCTCTGCTGGAGTAAGTCCTCATAGAGTCCAGTGTTAAAATGCCCAGCATTACAATGTAAAAAATAAGAATAAAATAAAAACAATTCTGGACAGTGTGGAATTTTTATATTACTCAAGCATTCAAATGGGCTTTAAGAGACCTAAATTTATAGTGGTTAGTTCAGGGCGTTTACATGGCACATGGGTAAAATTTTATAATCTAAAACAGCATAAAGCAGGAGTGGGCAATTAACTACCTAAATAAATAA